ACTATTTATTCTGTATTTAGTGTAGTATTTAATAACGAAACTGACAATTAATGATTTTTGCACCATTTTTTTTGTAATAAACATACAAACATAAGCACGTTTTGCCCATAGAAAGCGTTATGGCGGGAGACACTCAGATCACCTTGCTGTCAATTCAGTATTTCCGAAAACAGTTTTCTTTAAATAGTGCTAAGTGGTTTCATAAGTGATTTAGCAACTTTTTAAATTTCAAATTATTGTTTAGTGATACAGGTGAGTATGTCACCCAAGAGACGCCCTTTCTATGGAAAGTCATCTTCCGCTAAAAGAATGCGAGCACAAAAAGCAACTGAAACAGAAGAAGAACGCAATCAAAGACTTCAAGTTGCAAGGCAGGCTGCTCAAATACAGGAAGAGACTTTAGAACAACGTAAAGTTAGACTTCGAGCTCAAGCTGAAAAGCAGGCTACTCAAAGACAGCAAGAAACTGTTGAACAGCACAAAGCCAGAGTTCATTCAGAATCATCAAGGCAAGCACAAAAATTAAGACAAATAACTTACAGAGAGCAAGAAACAGTGGAGCAACATGATGTACGACTTCAGGCTCAAAGAACAAGACAAGCTCAAACACGATCTCATTTCAGATAAAGCTTTGTTTGATTAAACGCTTCTTTATTTCTCGCATCACAGCTTTTGTCTACTTACTGAATAATTTGCTGAAACAAATACTGATCTATACGTTTCAAATCTAAATTTTCACCGTGCAACGCCGGGTAACTCGGCTAGTACTATGTATATTTCTACAAATAAAAGGCTATACCGCACAATGCAGGAAAATGGGATAAATATTCGATCGAGGTTTATGTAATATATATTTATATCTATTGAGAAACATATATGTTTTCATAGCCCACTTTTTTTTTTTACTTTTACAGATTTTTACAGAGGATTAGTTCCTTCCTAAAATGTGATCGTAAGACCTCGTATTATTACTCGAGCAATGTACGTCACTCGACTAAAAAAAAAATCGTAAGTCACGCACTGTGACATAATGATCTCGGGGTAAATGATACCAAAACCTCCAACAAATTGTAACAGTTCCCACTTACTTCGGGTTGTTACCCGTATTGTGCATAGATAAATATGGCGTAACAATCATTGAAG